GGGTGGAGAGGGAGGTGGGAGGGGGGACCGGGATGGGGAATACATGTAAATCCATGGCTAATTCATTTCAATGTATGACAAAAACCACTGCAATGTTGTAAAGTAATTAGCCTCCAACTAATAAAAATAAATGGAAAAAAAAAAAAGATTAAGGTAAGACATCACTATATAGTTTCAAGAGAAATTTGCATTTCAAAAAGATTATTCTGGCCGCTGTGTGGAGAGCTAATCGAGAAACCCCAGGCTGAATAATCACTATTGCAGTGGTTTTGGCAAGAGATTATGGCAGTTTAGAAATGACTGCTTATGTCGACGCAGGGGAAAGGATGGATTTGACGGGTGTTTGGGAGATAAAATTGGTAAGAGTTAACAATAATCTGGCTACACAAGTATGAAGGTGTAGGAGCAAATTAGCCAAGATGGTGGTGGTCAAGCTCTCTCGCCCCCACGGCCTCTCACTATTGCCCCATGTTTTGTAAATACATGGTTATGTAACGGCTGAGATCACTTACAGCACTGAGCATGCATGTCAAGATGTACCCGCTTGGCCACCGGCCACTTTTGCTCTGTAAACATATATAAGCTCCATCTGAAAAGCCGTTGCAGCTACATTATAGCAGTGTCCACTGGGTCAACCATGAGAGAATCCAGTGTATCTGCTGTTATGGTTGCTATGCCAGTCAGCAGAGAATAAACATGTCTGCAGTTTCTGTGGCTCCTTGAGCTTTCTTCCAGCTTTCCTGCTCGCGCCTTGCCTACCCTGGGTTCAGTGAACAGTGTAAACAGTGAGGAACAGTGAGGCAGAAGCACATTAAGAAACCAAGAATAAAGATTAGATTTCAAATTTTCATCACAAGTGGTTGGAGTTACTTACTAAAGTGAAATATGGAACACTGGAGAACAATCAGAGGTGATAACCATGCATTTCATTTTAGGCCTGCTGAGTTTGAAGTGCTTGTGAGCTATCCAAGACCTATCTTGGAGATGCATATAACAAAGCTCAAAGGTAAAGCTGGATGGAGCTATACATTTAAGAGTCATAAGTGTGACATAAGTGGCAAAAGTCATAAGTGGTGGCAAAACCACAGCTATGAATGAGATCATATTCAATTACACAGTAAAAAGGAGATTTGGAGTTAAGAAACTACCCTACCCTTGGTGGGTTGGACAAAGGAGGATGAGTCCCTCAAAAAGAAAAGGAAAAAACAGCTTTTTTGGATTTTGAACCATACTCGTAAGTTCTCATTTTTAAAAAATTTTGATTTAAACCAGTAATCTTAGAATGTTGAAGGCTTCCCAAATTAAACCAATTTATCAGAACTATCTTTTCAAAGATAGGTCACTTTCAGAAACCATCTGGAAAAATCACAGTACCATTCTACTTGCTGCTTGAAAATACATCAATATACAAAAAGCTATCTCTTCCAAAATATATATGACTTCGGCTTATTACAGTTTCCTGAAATTACCTTCTCTTTCTTTCGCTCAGGGCTTCACCATATGCTGTTCTTCTGGCCCTCTTTCCCCGAGATGAAGATTTCCCTAACTTTCCAAAACTTGGCTAAGTGATCTTTTTCCTGTCCATCCCAATAATGTCATAGTGCTGTATGTTTAATGTGTGTACTGTGTGTTTAACCATTAATTAGATGTCTTTTACACTGTTGTATATTTAGTACCTAATAAGGCTAAATTTTTAGAGACACATCTATTCTGCAACTTTAAAGAGTTAAAATCTAATTTGGTTATCAGTCCATCGTCTGGCGTGCAGCAGTCCATGGGGTCGCAGAGTCAAAAAGACGGAGCCACTGAACAACCACTGACAACCCTTCAAACGTTGACCTTCCTCTAGAGGAATGACTCAAATGATAATTTGTAAACAAAGGACTGAATCTTTAAAACATGCTAAATTTTGGAGATTCTTTTCATACGGTATCCTTAAGGTCTGCAAAAATTCATATTTAGGAATACCAGAGATTCTTTCCCCTTTAGTCTCATACAAAATGGATTTGACAGCTCTCTTTGAATGCCTGGCTTGGGATGTCATCTCAGCAAGTAAAGCACAGAACACCCCTGCACAATGGCAAAGACGGCAAGTGCACAGGGATACCCAATCCATCAGGAGCCAGCCCGCTGGACAGGACGGAAGCAGAGGCAGCAGCGTGGAGCACCGGTTCCCACAGCATCCCCCCTGTCTGGCTTTACGCCGCAACCTCCGACCCTCAGGATAGCGACCATTTCCAAATTGTCGCCTCGACGCGGGAGAATTGGGCACCCGGACTAGTCCTTCCCAACGTAGATTACTCATAGAAGTCCCTGGACTAAGGCTTACAGTCCTGGATGGCTCGGTTTCTAAAATCCCAGAAGAAATGGAGGAAGGGGAAAAATCCTGTCAAAGAAAAGTGGCAGCCAAGCCCACAGTGCTCACCAAGCCGACGCTCTCAGTCAATCTTTGTCAGCGCTAACCGTTGGATCGCAGGCCGCCAAAGGCAATGTCGCAGTGGCTCTTGGGGGCTGTAGTTTCTGTCGCAAACGAAAGGCTCAGGCAGAACCCAAACTACTTTTCCCAGAAGTCAATGCGAGCACTCCCTGCTTCCTCAAATCTGGGGTTTGGCGTAATAAAGACAGTGTTCTTATTTTTAGACTGACCTTAAACTTAGATTCAGGCACTTCCAGGTGTACGTCTGTGCACACTTTCTTTTCCCTGTTTGTGTTGTCTGTGATAGCGTACTTCAGCCTCCCCTTATTTTCTTTTTCCCCCCTTTTTCGGTCTAAAGAATCCAAACGCCAGGAGATAGAAAACGCTCCCCGGCGCAGATTAAGTGCCTTTTAAGGCGCATGCGCCTTGCTCGCTGTCACGCTTGCGTAGCAACCGGCGGCGGTTGGCGGCCGCGCGCGGACTTGGGGTCTGGAGGTAGCCTGTGGGTGGGCGGGGCTTTATCCAATGGCTTTGCCTCCGCGGGTCGCGTCTACTAGGGCGGGGGAAGAGGGCGCAGGGGCAGGGGCGGCTCCTACTTTGTGCCGGGCGGAGAAAGGGGAGGGGCTGGGGGGTGAGGACCCCGTCTTCCCTCCCTGCTCCCGCCCTCTGGGCCGAGCTCCACAGATGAGGCTGGGCGAAGAGGCGGGCTCTGCGCCGCGGGCCCCGCCGCTCCGCCAGCTTCGCGGCCCAGCCCCGCGCTCGGGGATTGCGGGGCTGCCCTGTGCCCGTCAGGCTTGGAGGGCGGTGGGCGAGGACGCAAGGATTGGAACAGGAGCGGCGTCTGCCCAGGGCACCCGGAACCGACAGGGCCGGAGACGCTTTTCCTCCAACGCTACCGAGACAGCGGCTGCAGAAGGCTACCGCCCCCCGGGAGTGTCAGGGTCTCTGGCCGTGGCAGCCAGCGAGCCAGGGTTCGGCAAGCCAGCGCCCGGCCGGGAGGGAGGAGCTGCGGAAGGCGGGGACTGGTGCCGGAGGAGGGGCGGGGTGGGAACGCTCCCGAGAACACCGTGGCTGCACTGACAAAAAACACCGAATGGCTGGAGAGCGTTCAACTGTTACCAGCCTTTTTGGGCAGAGCACGGGTTTGACAGCTCCCCAGCGTGAGGATATCCGCTGACCCCGCGGGTCGCAGGAGAACACTTTCCCGACACTGGCTGTGCAGCAAAGCCAGAGCTGTAAAGTTTCAACTTGCCAACTTTTTTTCCCCAGTCTGTGGCCAGAAGACTGCCCCTCCGGGTAGAACGAGAGGGCGAGCTCTGTCTTGTAGCTAGAAGAGACGCTTCTGGTTCCAAATGTCACCCAGACGTGTTTTTTCATGACGATTCTAGTTCTCTGATTTCATTCTTACGTTTCTCGTTTTAAAAAATATAAAGTGCTTTGGGGGGGCATGCTGAAAGTTAACTGAAGACGGCAAAGAAAAAACTCCACCGTAGTCATGGCTGAAGGAGAGAATGAAGTGAGATGGGATGGTCTGTGCAGTAGAGATTCAACTACTAGAGAGACAGCTCTGGAAAACATTAGGCAAATCATTGTGAGAAAAACCGAGTGTCTTCGTTTGATGAAAGAGACACCTTATCGTCCAGCAGACGGCCTTTCAAATGCGGTTTCTTTGGATGGATTGAATAAGCTTCTTGCTCATCTGCTTATGCTTTCTAAGAGGTGTCCCTTTAAAGATGTGAGAGAGAAAAGTGAGTTTATCCTGAAGAGCGTCCAGGTAAGAAAGAGCATTTTAAGTACAACTGTTTATCTAGTACAGTGAAGTTTACTTGCAGATATATTCACTTTGTAATTGCTTCAAGTAAGTTGTTATAATTTGAATTACCTTAAATTTAGAACGTAATTTGGGATTAATATTGGACAAGGTGATCTAAAGTAAAAGTAATTTTCAAGTACAACTAAATAAGTATTGTCTTTCTAGACAGTTTTAGCAGAAATGCATTCTTCCTGGGAAAAATATGTGAAAATTACAGTTAATTACAAGAAAATACTTGCTTTTCTTTACATTCATTTTTACATGTTGTTGGAAACTGTAGCCAGTATGCTTTTCATATTGTTACAAACAGTGTTCTATGTGGAAAGTTTCACAGTTTAAAAGCTTCTAAAATGATAAAGAATGTTAAATGTTTCCTCGCCAGCTTGTTCGAGAGATAACTGGTGAAACAATTTTCTCTTGTTCTTAAAAACAAAACAAAAAACCCCAGAATCTGTTTCCCTAAATGCAACCTTTCTTTTCTGAAAGAAAAAAATTATATAAATAATAAAAGCCCATGTTGTAAGGGAGCTGACATCTGCAGATTGAAAAATTGGATCCAGGTTGAGTGACTGATAGACTCTTATGGTCAATTACTTAACTAGCTTTCTCTGTGTTTGCCTAAGTTTGATTCTTTTCTTTCTCACATACATTTCTATTTAAGTTGTAAAATATTAAAAATGTTTTCCTTCTGCTTGTACCTATTCAGTTTATCTTTTTTTATTAGAAGGTTTTTTTTTTTAAAGAATAAGGTTTTTTAGAAATTAAGAGTGGTCAAAATGCTCTTTATGTTTCTCTGTCTAAATTACTCAATTCACATGTGTTCAAAGTCATGGTACGATAAGTTTTTTAAATGTATGATTTACTTGGGGGGTATATATCTATATATACATATATATAAGCTAAGATGAACAGTTTTTCTATTCTGGTTTGAATTCAGTTTAAATCAACAAAAAATAATAATGTGCATAAAACAAAGACTCTTTAAAATCTTGGATATTTCTTTTCACAAACACAGTGGAAACAGTCGTTACAATTTACACTTATTCAGAGTTACTAGAGAGGAATTATTATTCAGCACTTGAGGTTTACCCTTTTAAGAATCAAAAGTTATTTCTCTATCTTAGTGACTACAGCAACCATTTCTTTTTTCATAGTGGGGTCATCATTTTGCATATCAAGTACGTACTGTTGTACAGTTGAGGGTGGAATGTATGTATAGGACTCTATGATCCACTTTGAGCTTGTGTGTTCAATTTTTAGTTTTTCTGTTCCTTCCCTTGCTGTCAGTATTCTTCATTTCGGCCTCTTCTTGAATGCTTTATTTTGCTACTTTTAAAAATTACTAGAATGGGACCCCAGATAGCCAATTTTGTTAAGAGTTAGATTGAACACTGAAATAATTAGGCTCTGGAGATTACAAGGTCAAAGGATTGACATAATGGTAAGTAAATGGGTACTGGTATCAAACCTGGGCTCAGATTCTCCTCCTTTATTAATGTAATATATAACCTTGAATGAGTTATTTGACCTCTCTCAGCTTGGATTTCCACATCTATAAAATGGGTATAATAATACAGAGGTCTGTTACTATAGTAAATTAATATTATAGAGGAGGTGTAAAATGCCCTATATGTAAGGGATGCTCCTGTCCTCTTCCTTATTTTTTTAAAAACATGTATTTATTTGTCTGCGTGGGTCTTCATTGCGGCACTCAGGACCTTCAATCTTCCTTGCAGTATGTGAGATCTAATTCCCTGAACAGGGACCTAAACCCAGGCCCCCGTGCATTGAGAATGCAGTTGTAACCACTGGACCACCAGGGGAGTCCTTCCTCTCCCCTTTTATAAATGAAATACATGGCCTATGTGATATGTATTTTAAGACTCATTCATTCTGCAAAAGGAATCAAGAATCTCTACTATGAAGTTTTCCTGTCAATTCATACCTTCATTTTCATCTCTGCATCTATTGTACATCATTCCAGCCACAATTCTAACAGGCACTTATGTTGGGTTATAATCACATATTCATGTGTCTGTCTCCCCTAGGAGGGCTATAAGTTCTCAAGAGTATTGACTGGGACTTGCAAGCTACTAAATAAATATTGCATCTTAGTTTGAATTGGTGAAGTTACTATTAATAGATATGGAATTTTCCATTCCTACATCATTCATTCCTGCCTTCATTCAACAAATGTTAATTGAACCCCTGCTGAATGCCATTCTAAGAACTGAGAATCAGTGGTAACAATTTTGACATTCTACTGAAGGGAAATTGACCATAAAGAAGTAAATGAATAAACAATGTAATTTTAAATAATATAGGAAGACTTCCCTGAAGAGATGGCATTTAAGCAGAAATGAATAAGTATTATCCAGGCAAAAATGAGATTGTGAGGGGGACATTCCAGATGTAGGGAATAGCATATGTGGAGGCCTCACGGTAAAAGAAATCAGGTGAATTTAGGAATGGAAGGTAACGCGGTTTGAGGAGAGTGTGAAAGTTTAGATACATGCTAGGAGTCAAAGCTGACTCCAATACTTTATGAACTCTGCAACCTTTGGTAAGTTACATAATCTCTCCTTGACTCAGTTTCCTCATCTGCAGAATGAGGATGAGAATAGTTCCTGCTTCACAGTGAGAATAAAATGAAATAATGCTTACAAAGCATAGCGCAGTGCCTAGCAAATAGGAAACACCATAAAGCTAGGAGTTCTTACTGTTTTTAGGCAGGAGCCAGAGAACAGAGGACCATGTTAAGAGTTACAGACTTTACCCTAGGATCAATGAGAAGCCACTGAGGGGCGCTGAGCGCGATGGTGACGTGATACATGGTATATTCTTCACTTTGGGAGAAATTTGGAGAATGGATTTCAGGGGTCGAGACTGAATGTGCAACACTAAGGAGGTTGTTCACTAGTCCAAAGCAAAAATGGTGGAGTAGGATGTAGTAGACAAAGTGGAAAAAGGTGACTAGGTTTGGGAGGTAGGTAGGAGTTAGAAACCATTGGATATAGGAGATGAGGAAGTAAAATGAAGGATGGCTCTAAAGTTTCTAGCTTAAACTGCTTGGTGAATAATTAAGTCGTTTCAGGAGACCAGAGTGGTAGAAGGTTAATTTAGGGGAGTGATGAGTTCTGTTTTACACAGGTTGAGATTAAGTTGCCTTTGATAAATCTGATTAGAAATAGCTCTTAAAGGGATTTCTGCCCCTGACAGCACTGTTCTACTTCTGACATTGATATCTCTCACTTTGCCAGACTTAACCCGTCCTCCACTTAATTGCAGAGCTGTTTATCTAAAACAGAAATCTGACCATGTTTCTCTCCTCCTGAAAACCCCTTAGGTTAGACTCTAAACTCCTTAGTGCCCAGCATCACCTGGTCTCCACTTGATGGTGCAGCTTTACTGCTCACACTAGTTTCACAAGAGAGACCAGGTAATGGAGTGCTCCCTAATGCCTTCTGTTGTTCATTAGTAAGCGGCAAAAGCTGAACTGTACTTGCAGTTCTTGCAGCTATTCCTGATGGCCCCCTTAATTGCTATAGGTCATGTTGTCAGGGAGAGATGGTAGGATGGATTCAAGTCAAAATGATTAAACGTGTAAAAATGGACACTTTG